CATCATCCTGGGCTCCGGCGGTAACTACCTCCATGCGTCTTTACATACACGCAAGTCGCGCGGCGAAGAACGAAAACTCGTAGACGAGCTATTAGTGTAGTCCGTATATAGATATACGGACTAGACTAATAGCGTTTTTTCAGCGCAAAACCGTGCAAAACGAGCTATTAGCCTAGGCCGTATATTTATATACAGCCTAGGCTAATAGCATTTTGTAGCGCAAAACCGTGCAAAACCGTGCAATTACTCTAGTGTCTATATTGATATAGGCGTCTAAAGGGCGGGCCCTGACCGTTGCTTGCCATCTGCCAGGTCGTCCTCAACAATGCGGTTTCCGCCGCCTTGGTACATCCGGGTCAGCCGCACGTCCTTGTCCGTGGTTTCGGCGGGGAAGCCGTCCTTGGGGAATTGCCTGCAGGGGCGTGTGCTGCAGAGGCCGAGGGTTCGGGTCCTCGCTGGACTGCACGATGTCGTCCAGGTAGAAGTGGCTCGTGACGAACAAGGTGGTCTTGCGGTCCGGCTGGTCCAGGGGCAGGGGCTCACTCCGCTCGATGTAGCCCGCCACCTGCTCGAAGCGCGGGCGCTGGTTGCAGCCGTGGGCCCGAAGCGTCTTCATCTCTTTACCGGTTACTGCGCAACTTCGCCCGCCGCCCGTTCGACGCCCCGGCGCTCGCCTGACGGTGCGCGGCCTCCGTCAGCCGGCTCACGTCGTCCAGGTGTCGTTGCCCGCCTGCCTGCGCTCCCCCAGCCAGTTGTTGAAGGCCCGGGCCTCCTCCAGTTCTCAGTAGCGCTTCAGCAGCAGCGGCTGCAGGTTGTAGCTGGGGTAGGTCTTGCAGACCACCGGAGCATCTGCGGCTCGTTGCGGGGCTCGATGGACATCATCTTGCCTTTCACACCAGCACGCTTTGCGCCTGTCGTCACGGTCGTAGGCCGACTGCCTTTCCAGCAGCGTGCTGCTGCTCGCGCGCGAGCTGCGGGGCCTCGACTGGGGGTGCCTCTGCCGGGGGGCGGCTCCATCCTTTTAATTATACGTGGTCAACATACAAGACGAACAAAGCCCCGTAGCCGGACGACGTTGCCGTCCAGGTCGGTCAGCCGGAAGCGCATGTGCCTCAGGGTAACGGGGCCCCTCAGGGCCATGAAGTGCCCCTCATCCAAACCCGTCTCCACGATGGTGCCCACGCCGCTCTTCAGCCTGCCCGGATGTCGTCCAGGTTGCCCACACTCGGCAGGTAGACCTTGTTGTGCGCCATCATCCGGGCGAACTCGAAGACCTGCTGCCCGCCGGAGACGCCAGCGTGTGGTCCACGCTGAAGGGCTTGGTCGGAGAGGCGGGCGCCCCGCCGCGTCGGGGAATTGCTGGCGCAGCTCCAGGTCGTTCAGGATGAGCGGTTGCCGTCGTAGGCGACGCCCAGGCTGTTCGTGGTCTTGCTGTAGGTGGCGGTGGCGAAGCTGGAGCTGACCCAGGCTGCCAGCCGGGGGACGCGCTGGACGAAGCAGGCGGGGTTGGGCGTGGCCGGGGCCAGCGGGTTGGTGCCGTCCGTGTTCCTGGCGCGGAAGGCGATCTTGATCAACTCGGAGTCAATGAATGAGGTACCACTGGTCAGCAGGAGGCGGCAGACCGAGAGGTCTCTGAAGGGTCTGGTTCATGTCATTGATTTGCTCGGATTTTCCTACCTTGACATAAATGCAAATCACAAGCACATCCAGGTGGGCAATTTTCATCCATCCTTCCATGTATCGGCAAGATTGTAGCAACCACGGTTCAACCGGGTTTCTGCTTAATCTTACTGGCGCACGTGAGTAAATTGCCACTCCTAAACTGTCTCCTCGCAAACACTCATCTGGCACGCGTGTTTCAGTCCTAGGTGGGCATGGATTTCCCCAATGAATTTCACCATGATTCACAAGGTTGGTTCCCAGGGTTTTCTGCACCGCCTTTGTCGCACTTGTTTCACTCAGAAAGTAAATGTCTGCTTTGATTTCAAGTATTGCCTTAGTTTTCTGCAAAATTTGGCTTCCCCAACTCTCACTCCCGTCATCTCGCGGTGACTACCTCCAGCATTTTCACTCGTACGGCGAAGCTATTAGTGTAGTCCGTTTATAGATATACGGACAACAAAAAAAGCGTTTTTTCAGCGCAAAATCGTGCAAAACGAGCTATTAGCCCGGCGATCACCAGCAGCCGGGGTTCCTCTGGTTCGTGGTCAGGGACAGCTGTGTCGAGAGGCTTTTCGTCTGTGCCAGCGCCTCATCGTTGATCATGATGAGCTCGCACTGGTGCGCCCCGCCGCCGCTCCAGGAAGACCCGCGCGCTCTGGTTGCCCAGCAGCCGCAGCTCCGGGCCGCTGTCGGAGGCCGCGCTGTTGTTGGACACTTGCGCCTTGCTCCAGCCCGCCCAGTTTTTCGTCAAAAAGAGATCGTCCGAGAAGTCGGAGGTGTTGGTCACGGTGAGCGTACCGTGCCCGAGCTCGTCACGTCGCCGCACACCACGCTGCCAGTCGACACTCCGCCGCTCGTGGCCGTGAAGGTGCAGTCCAGGCTCTCGCAGTCCAGCGGGCCCACGGAGGCCGCCCCGTGATCGTCAGCGTGGCGCCCGTGAGCGCCCCGGTATCTGCGGGGGGAAGTTCTCGCACTGCGCCCGCAGATTATCTTGCATCAGCGGCATCCACAAGCCATCACAAACGCACTTGTTGCGAGCCGCAGCGCGCATCAATTTTTAGGCGCTTATCTTTAGTTTCCACGGTGGCCAGCAGCGTCGGAATGTCCTTGAAGTGCCGGCTCTATTTTGTCCGAGCTGCGCTGCTCGAGGTGCGAGTATAGGGCGGACTTGTCGGAGATCTTGTTGGCTACAATATAGTCTACGAACTGCCCGTGGCCCGGCTTGATGCCGCGCACCCTGCCAGCCACTTGCGAACTCTCTCTCTTTCACGGAGTTCACCGCCCCTTTGGGAAAGCAGCTCCTGGCCGACACGCCCGCGCCCCCGCCGCCCAACGAGGCGGGAGCAGGGAGTACAAGTGCCCGAGGCGCATGGCCCGCTTTACCAAGAAGGCCGTGCGGCAGCGCCAGCGCGCCAGTGCTATCGAGAGATAGCCGAGCGCACTCGGAAAGCGCCGCTGCCCGGCCACGGGGAGAACTAATTTGGGCGACATCACCAAGGGCCGAGAGAAGCCTCCAGCCGTGACCTCGGCACTTGCTGCGGTAGCATGCCCTGGTCCCTACTTAGGCCCTGCGCTGTGCCCCGCCATGGACGCCTCCGTGTGTTGAGGAGGCGTCTGCGCAATGGATTGAAGTGCTCTCCACCTACCACAACGCCCATTGTTTATGCCAACTTGACCAAGGTTGGCAAGGATGAACGTGCGCAGCTTCAGCGGCTGGTATTTAGCTCCTAGATTGCGAGAGAGCGAACTTGTGACCAAACCCAAGATTGCTAAAGAGGAGACGGCAATGGCAATGTCTGCCAATTTTGATGTGATTGATTTGATGTGATTGAGAACGAAGGAGGCCAAGGATGTCGCAGCAGAGAAACAGTGCGTCACGGGTTGCCGCGGACGCAGGGTTGCAGACACGCTGGACCACAAACGCAAATACAGACATGGCCTGTTCAGGTTGAAGGAGGTTTGTAGAAATCCAGTTTCACCCCGAGCAATTGTGCAGGCTCAGGTTAGAGAACCAGTGGAACTTCATTTGCAACCTGTCATGACATGAGGCAGCCAGGAGCGTCCGAAAGGTGAAATGCTAACATAGCATGCTAACAAAAGCCAACCAACTGGTTCAACAGATTTGCGCCTCGTTGAGCTCGGCAAGGTTGTAGGTGTTTACGGGAAGTCAAGTAGTTTGGTATATCTCCAGGAAATTTCTTTCTACCAGATGTAAAACACCAGACACATCCCAAGAGAAAACGGGAGTCACCGAACAACATTTGGTTCCACATTGTCACCGACATCATGTCTTCCTGGCAAAGTCTGGCCTTGCCAGCAGGTGCGGAACTGAGAGACAACCTACAGGGTCCCGCTCCATTTGGGGGTGCATCTTTATGCTTGGTGTTTGGTTGCTGTCAACAACAAGGGCGAAACAACCCATTGTTGGGGTCCCTGATATTCAGACCAACCCATCCCATCTTGTGGTTCTTGTCTTGTTCATTCTTGTCTTGCACCAATCTGAAAGCCGAGCAGCCTCACCGGAATTGGCTTTGAGCCCTTGGAAGGGACTCGGCACCTTTTGTTGGACTTGGCACCTGGGTTTGCGGAGCTCCTGTTTATACTTTGAGAACCATCTTGGTAGAAATCAATAGGTTTCGGGTGCTGAAGAGATGCGTCCGGATTGGCAATGAAGCTTGCAAGCACCGGTTTGGGAGGGATCGAGTTCCATTTCTCTTGCGGATTGTTATGTTTGGAACATGATCCCTTAGTTCACGTTTTGGACTCATTGTCAACGCATTTGTGTGTTTGTTTGTGTGCTTGCAAGGAGCCGGATCAGCTTTTGAATGCGACTCTTCCTATCAATCCATCAATTCGGCACCACCATTACCGTGGAGCTGGTAAATGTGAACCAGGCCAAAGCGGCTTGGTCTCCAAATGGTGAGGCACCTGGAAAATGAGTTTCCGAAACAAACAAAAGACACAACCAACCAACAAACCTACAAACCTACAAGCCAACAAACCAACCGACCGACCGACCGACCGACCGACCGACCGACCCGACTGACCGAGCAGGAAAGGCAGCCAGCCAGCCGGCCAGCCAGCCAGAGACGAAAGCATGAGAACCTCTAGGCTTTGTTGATCCGCAGGATGCGTTGATCCGGGGTCGACATGTCATGATGGTCATGAGAGTATGCCGGCATCCCTAGGTATGCCTGGGAAGAAGACATTGGTGATCCTGAATGAAGTTTAGATGCGGCTTAAGCAGACTTTGGCCAGACGTTAGGGGCCCCTTCTTGAAGGGACCCAGCAACCCGGCTCCCGAAAGAAAAAGGCCCTTGACGCTCGCTTGGTTTCAGGTGGCGCGGCTGTTCTGGGGGCCTTGGCGAACCAGAGGCGGGTGAGTGGGAACGGGTCGGCCATCGGCCATTGGGAAGCGCCCAGAAATCGAGAACAGCTGTTACTTTCCAAGAATTCGGGAGAACTCTTTTCAGCCCATGCTCCAGGGTCCATCTGAGAAAGATATCCTACAAATTGCCCTCAAAGTGGGGGGTCCACACCCCCAAAGTGATCAAATGAGAACGATCCCTCAAATCGTCCAGCACACTGTGTAAGTGAAACTGCTTGAAACTGCGGGCAGTTTCACTTTGAACCCACCCATTTAGATCGGGCCTTTCCTCAGTTTCTAGGAATTTTGGGTGTTCCGGGCATCGTCACAGCCACAAACCAGGCTGCAGCTGAGCCACGATGTGTGGCTGGGCTGCAAGATGGCGCCCGCGCTCTTCAACGCCATGCTCCGCGTGGCGCCACAGGTTGAGGGATTTGGGTATGGGTCAAAATTAAACCACCAGGATATGGACCGCAGGTTTTAGTCTATGTGTCCATTTACCAGGCTGCCATTTTGGGTACGCATCTACCGCAAGTGGTGGGAAGTGAGGGTGTGCGTTTGGCTTGTCCAACACCCCAAAAGACAACACAAAGGCGCAAGAAGATTGAGTTTAATCAGCAGGATGGGTGCAAGATTTGAAGCAGCAGGGCGAGAGATTGGGAAAGCAGTGAAACCAACGTGGTTGACCCAGCCATGGTTGCAGATGCTAACCACCGAGTGAAACTCAGGACCATGCCATTGGGGTTTGTCTTAAAATAGGTTGAAGGGACTCCACAAACTCTCTTGGTTTCCCCTTGGCTTCTCAAAAATCCAAGCGGCTGGCTTGAGGGATTTGGGTATGAGTCAACCAGGTTATGACCGCAGGTTCTGTCATTGTTTCCATTTACCAGGGTTCTACTTTGGGTACCTATTTTTGACCTATGGCCATATGATTTTGGATGCAGAATGGTAAGTCAACGGTTCTTTTTGGAACTCGAGCAGTAAAACCGATTGCTTTCTTTTGTTCAAGCAAGGGAAGCATGTAAGCCGGGTACGGGTTCCTGAATTTGTTGCGTGCATCGTGGTTTGGGGGTAACCCTAGCTCATGTGGAACCGAAATGGGAAAGGTGTTTAGCCTGCCAATTGTTGTAAAACAACCGCGTTAGAAACCAAACCACCAAACCTGACCGCTACTTCGGAGTGAATCAAATGAGCGCTGCGCTGGCAAGATCTTTCCCAGCCATGTTTTGTTACATGGCACGGCCATACTTGAACCGTGGTTGTAGCCCACCAAAGCCATGGTTGCAACCAGGGTTACCAACTTGACGCGTCGGCACAGGTGTCAAGAAAGCCCGCCTGCGCCTGAGGTCGCGTTTCTTTCTGATTGTGGATTGGCAGTGCCCCGTTCTTCAGCCGTTTGTCTCGCTGCAGTTGAGTCCTTCAGTCTTCTCCTTGCTTTGGCTTCGAGTTCGGCGTCTTTGTGTGACCCAAGACATGAGGATGACGTTGATAGGATCTTATATGACAATGTATGCATGCGTGCCAGACCCATTTGTTGGATTGCCAGAGTAAACATACAGTTGTGTGTGCGTGTGTGTTTCAATTGTTGTTTTGCTGTTGCCAAAAGGATTTGGAGTCAAAGCACTGGTTTCAGCTTGGCTCTAAGCATTGACCTGGCATCTGCTTCAGCCAAAGAACAGCCAGGCTGCTTTGCAAAATGTGTTTGAACTGAACTCATTTGCTTTCTGAACAGCTGCGTGAAGGGCAGGAGCCGATGCAAAGGCTATCTCCGCCTGGGAAATCAAGTTGCACTCCATTCCACGCGTTCCACTTGAAGACTACGGGAAGACCAGAACAGCGGAATTGGCGGACTCCCCACCCCAACATAGCACAATGCTCTGCAACGCATTTTTTTGGGAGTCCGATAATTCTCCCAAACGAGTCCAAGGGCTTCGTCAAAAGCGGAGGGTTTTTGGTTTCCGAGGCTACAGCTTGGCCGATGTGTCCGCCTGGCTGCTTTGGTTTCGCTTTGTTTCTTAGATATTTGTGGTCTCCACAACCATGTTGGTTTTAGGGTAGACTGAATATGAAGCCGAACATCATAACATAGGATCTTTTTGGACTAGGATGCGGGCCAAGATGTGTGCCGAGCAAGCTGAAGCCGAGCTGACGGACCTTTTTCAGGGTACCCTTCCAGGAGGGCTGGGGGGCCTGGCTTGGATCCTTTTGCGGGGCCCGGGCCGATCTTTGGGTTCCATGGCAACAGGAGGGTATGGGGGGTTGTCTTTCTTGTGACCCCTTGACGGGGTTGCTTCCAAGGAAAGCCAAAAGCAAGCCACCAATCTTGGGGGGGTCCCTAGTTTGAGACCAACCGGTATGTCTCAAAACTAGGCTGTTCATCGCAAGTCGGGAAGGTGTGAAAGAACCTTCCTTTTGGAGAATCTCCGGGAACCCACCTGCGTAGGAACGTATCTGACTTTGGTTTTCCCGCTACTGTTTTGTCGTTTTGCTTTTGATATTCCTATCCGCTACTATTTACTTGATGCATCTTGGGCTCCGAACGGGGCCAAGGGATGCTCTCAATGGCGCGGTTTCAAGCCCAAGCCTTTGCCGGGGATTTGCACAGCTTGATAATGACAGCGATTACTCCGAAGGACCCTACCAGTCAGAGGAACCCCCTAAAAAAGAAGAAGCATTTTCTTACCCCTGATTAGTACGGTCCTCGAGATCCATCCGAAGTTAGCATGAAGGCAGTTTGCCTTCGAGTTGATGCCCAAGTGCGACTTGTTGCATTTTTTTTGCCGAATCATTCAACAAGCTCCTGGTCTGGACAAAACACTTGAGCAGCACCCAAAAGACGGGCTTTACTTCCTGGTTCATGAAGAGATTTAAGGGCCCAATGCAATTCTTTGTAGTCAAGCTGCTCAGTTGCTTTTCCCCGACAGCCAGTGAACCGGTGGGTGCCTGCCAGAATTTTATGCACCCAAACACGGGGATTCAAGTGCCCCGGCAACGTTTGGAAACTCAGATCTCGCTTGGAGGGAAGATGGTCTGGTTGTGAATATTGTTGGGGGGGGGGGGGAACATGAAAGCCTACCCACAGTTGCTTTTCGTTTTGATGGATCTCGCCTTCCCTTTTGTGAAAAACGGCGCGTGACAGTGGCACCAGCTTGCTTACCAGGTTGGTTATGGTTTCGCTGCTGGAAAGCCTATTATGTCATGGAAGGCCTAGTAAGGTGTACATCTCACATAGGCGCTGCCTCAGCTCCCTACGTTAGTAGGCTTGCTGCGATCACCATCTCCATCTTTGAAACACACCGCTCATTTTGGGGTTCCTCTTTTTTGAAGACACAGCGAATCTCATGGAGATCTCCGGAGCGCCAGGTGGCAGGAGAGCGTGGCTCGCTTCGGGGACCACTCCTTCGTGCTCTTCGAGCACCGACGGATGAGCTACGAGGCACCGAGTCGGTGGGCGCCTGGCAAGAAAACTGAGGTGCCCGCGGAACCCAGAGAAAACACATCCCATACCCCCTTCTTAACCTCAAAGGACTAAGAGCCCAAAGCAAACCAGCTTTGGTGTTTGTGAAAAGGGAAACAAAAGCAAGCCGTGGGTCCAAATCAACTTCATGTCTCCGACGGAATTTGCGGGTGACTGGGAGGACGTGGAGCATGTGGCCAACCAGATGGCCCACTTCCTGAGGCAGCAGACGCTTCAACCCGGCGAGGCGTTTGGCGGAATGCGAAGCTTTGGAGTGCGCATGGATATGTAGGCGCCTGTTGCCATGCAAATATATATAACGTTTATGTATTCGTAATATATATATATATGATACATAGATATGTATATACATGCATACATACATACATATATATATATATATGTATGCAATAAATCCATACACATACATGATGTTATACGGATACGTGCAAAACAACCAGGGGCACTTTCTTGCTAGGACCACTTTCCTGAGCTTATGCTTACACACATGTTAAAGGTTGATCGTTTTACATGAAGCCCATCCTTGTGTTTTTTGTTTTTCTCATGTCCCTGTTTTATGTTGGCAAGTGCGACCCCCTTGAATGTTGAAGCCAGTTTTGCACATATCCATCATACGGCCTTGGATCATGCGCCCACAGCCCCAAGGGACGACATGTGAGCCACAATCAAAACCCGGGTAGATGAAGGTTAGCAAGGGGCAGTCCCAGCCAGAAATAGCCGCGGCCGCCTTCCTAGTTCTTTAAATGGTTCTGGGTAGACTATTGCAATTCCGGGTTTTGATTGTGACTCATGTCAACATCCAGCTCTTCGGTGGCGCTCAGGCATCTGGGTCAGGGTTCCTGCAGGTCGCCACCACATGATCCTCTCATATCCATTCACCAATGTTTGAGGTGACCGCTCAGCCAAGACATGGCACTTCTCAGTCATTCCACAGCACCGACTCATTGTCAGTCACTCGCCCTATTGAATCTGCAATAAATGCGCTTGCTACCCAAAGCTCCTCTCATCGGTATATCTGGCACGCCCGCAGAGCTTAGAGAGCGTCAGGAAACTCCGGCGCTTCAAAGACAACCGGTACAAACCGTCGTCCTCCTGCTTTGCATATTCATTTGCCTCCATATACGTGCAGCCAAACTCCAAAAGTGGACCAACCTGAGTGAAATCACGACAAACTAGGTGGCTTGTTGAAGATGCTTTGCTTTCTTGAGGTCGTGTGGCCCCAACAAGTGGGCCATCTCGAGGGGCTTGGCCCGCTCGGCTTCCGGGCGAAGGGATACGAAACGTTACTGTGGATGGACGACATCCATTTCGCCCCGTTCAGAAACCCTGGTTTCTGATTCGATTCCAAGGTAAATACCAACAGTGGTTTCAAGCTTGGTTTCATAGTGGTGCGAACGGATTTTGTTCATCCCCAATTGGTTGGTGCTGTGTTTTTTCGATAGATGGCTGCGAGTGAGCAGTTGAGTCTTGTTTTGAGAGGGTTGGTGTGTAGCACACCTAGCCACAAATTTGCGGACAGGGGTCTTACGGAAACCCGCAGCAGCGGGACAAAGCTTCTGGATTCGTGAATGATTTGCAATAATTTTCGGTGTGTGATTTGTTCTCGCGATGTTCCTTTTCGTGGAGCTCTTTCCTTGTTGCCACTGTGCATGTACCTTGCCATTTTCCTTTCCGTTGCACTTGTTCCTTTTTCCAGCTCTGGTAGTCCGCACGTGTTCAAGGGTTCCAGGCCCACATAAGGGCCTAAATATTCAGAATAGCTTTGCGGGGTACTTCAAGTCCCATTTCCGTCATGATTTTTGGAGAATGTGTGCAAGTATTTGGACCCTATCACCAAACTCCGGAGGACTCACCTGCGAAAGGGGGGGGAGAAGGGCAGGACCGCCTCTTGCTTTTTTTGGGTGTTGGTCAGGTGTGCGCCCTGATGATGGAGAACAAGCCTGAGTACATTTGCTGGTGGCTGGCTATGGCCTGGACCTGAAAGCGTCTGCGAAGTCTCTTTGGGCGAAGCCTCGGACATGAGAGAAAAGCAGTAATGGTGCCCGAATAAAAGTGGAAAGGGCCCTTTTGGATGGACTTCAAAGGGGCAGTGTGGAAACACATCCGCAGATAGATCATAGCTCATATATGTACACACGCATGAAGTCCCTGACGACGCTGAGGCAAAGATCGGCGTGAAGGCTCGGAGTGGGCAGGCTGATCTTTTTGAAGCAGTTGGACAAGTGTAGTATCCCCCGGGCTCAATGACTCAATGCTTAGTAGTATGCTGATCCTATGACCATGACCAAATCTGGTTCAACAGGACCATACTGGACCATACCCCATTTTTCTTGTATGACAAAGCTCGAACAAGTGTTACTTTGCTCTACGTTTGCCAAACTTGTCCGGTAGGTATGCCTTTCTTGCAAGAAGGGCCACTATTTCCAGCCCAAGCAGGTAAGTCGCTCCACTTCCTGCCTTAGCTCCATGCAGTTGCTGGTTTGACCACTGGAGCAAGCAGTGGTGGCATTTTGAGGGTTTCTCAACACTTTTTATAAGCCACCTTTGAGACGACAATCTGAGGATGACCCCACTCCTACCAAAAGCCAGCGCGTTTTTCCCCCTTTCTTCTTCTTTGGACGGGCTTTGCTGACGGACTCGCTCGGAATGCCAGGCAGCTCTGGTGAACTACAACATCACAGGCTCGAGTTTCAGGTGTCGCGACCCGTTCGGACATTTGACCATGAACGAGCTCCAAATTTTCCACAAAGACTAGGAGACTTGCTGATTTGCCCTTATCCTTTTGGGGAAATAAGACATTCTGACCATTGCCATCTTGGGATGGTGTTCAAGGGTAAAGGTGAGCCCCAAAACCGTAACCGGCCATTTCGCTGGTTGAATAAGGCTTATAGTAAAGGTTTTGTGGGACCCTAGCCATTTGAGTAGAAGGTCTGGGTCGCTTCTCAGGTGAAATTAGCGTGAAGGCAAGTTCCTTACTTTGCTGGATGGTGTGTACAGGGAGACCGGACGGACAATTAGAATCCAAAAACCTCAACTCTTTCCCTTTCACTAGACACCTATCGATGTGTTGTTTTCTTATTGCAGTTTCCGATAGGACATATATGAAGGCGTTCTCGTTCTCGTTCAGGCTAAGGGGTGGCTCAGTTGACTCTAGAAAGCCACCAGGGGTTCAGCCCTCAACCGCTGAAGTTGCTGAGGTACAAAGTATACGATTAAGCAGATTCGATTCGGTTCCTGCTCTGCTTAAAGTAATCCCAAGGAGGGCTCAGGGGTAGCTTAAGCCGGTTCCCCGCAGGGAATGAGGAAGTGATCTCTGTCATCCATCCCTGGTTTCCTTGAAGTGAATCCCAAAACCCCCAAAAACAATTCCTGGCTGAGAACCTCTGAACCAGCAAGTTAATCCTGCCTGGGCTCTTGTTTTGCGCTGCCGCAAGTGGGATTCGCGCCAGATTCGTGCGACTCGAGAGGCAAGGGGCTCGGGCACTGCGTCTCGGTGGCCGATTGCCGTGCCCTGGTCTTTGACGCGGGCACGGAGGCTGTGGGCGTTGGTTTTTTTTGGGCGCCGGGGCGGGGGGGGGACGGGATATGGGCGTTTGAGCATAGGGGACATCTCGTTTTGTTAGGGTTGCCAATGTTTCTCTGGTTTCTTTTTCAGTTTCTTCGGAGCGCTGATTGAAAAGCCACATGAATGTGGAAAGTAGGACTAGGTTGCCAGCTTTGGTGGTAACGAGGAAATCGTCTTTTAAAGTGATGAAGTGGGCATGGGGATGACACACTTCATAGAGAAAGGGTCATTTCCCACCATGCATTTGAAGGCTATTTTGAAGCAAGAGCCACCGGAACACATCATCAACAAAGCAAACAGAGGATGCACATCACTTTTTGCAGTGCCACAGATCCACAACAGTTTTCCGATGACTGTTCCAAGTTTGACTGATGTCGATTGGATACGAGTTGAAAGCCCTGGTACGGCGGTGGATGCCCCAAATATCACGTGAACCAACCACAAAGCTTGGGATCCACCAAATTACAAATTGCACGACTCATATTTGTTGGTGTCATCATATTTATTTCTCGTAGTTTTGTGCACGAACTAAGCTTCTGCTCAATTAGTCTCACGCTTGGAATTTAACATAATTCGAAAAGGGGTTAACTACTTTTATTTTGGAGTTCTTGTCTCAAGCTATTTGAAAGATAATTTTCGGTTTTAAGACTAGCTTTTCTTGGAGTGGTTATTTCAGAATAGACTTTAAAGCGGTTAGTTTTCTAGCATTGTTTTCTTCAACTTTTTAATTAGACCCTTACATGGAATTCAATAAGGACAAATTTTTAGTAGAGCTTCTAGTTGAAAGATAATTTCATAGGTTTTCCTTTTCAAAGAAGATTTGTAATTAAGCTTATTTGAAATTAGACTTCAGGAAAGTCACCACAAGCGGTCGACTGCCATTTCTGAGCGGGCCCATGAAGCCATCGCAAAGACTGAGCGAACGCGCAAATCAGCTATCAAATTGTTTCTATGCATTGAATCCAAAGTGTCTTTCCAACACCTGCACCGGTCTGTCTCTCAATCTGTGGCGCCTTCCTTACACGGGATGTGTATTTGTGTGGCCAAAATGTATATAGAATTTGTGAAGGACAAACTTATAGTAGCATTTCTAGTTTAAGAGAACTGGAGTTCTTATGTCAAGTTATATTTCTTTTAAAAGGAGTTCATTTTTTGGGCTGATTTGTTCATGTAATGTTACTAGAAATTAACAGTCACAATCCGAATGCAATTTCTAGGTCTAAAGATGGTTTTAATAGGATTCTATTTATGAAGACTGTTTTCAATTGGTATTCTTACTTCAAATTAGACTTTGAAGAGGACTTCCTTTCCCAGGATGTTTTTTGTCCGTCTTCTATTTAGAACTCAATGGAGTTTAATAAGGACATAGTTCTAGTATAAATATGTTTTCTTTAGAGTTGATTTTAATAAACTGTCTTTTTTTTCAATTGATTCGGTTTATTTCAAATCAGAGTTTGAAGAGGCTTTCCTGGTTTAGGATGAGCTGATGCTCCCCCCGTTTTTTGGCCAATCGACGGGAAGTGAGATTTTTCGTTCAGGCCAACCTCCACACCGCGGACGCCCTGCTGACTGGGGTGCGGCTCATTTCTTGGGGAGGTGTGGATCCCCAATCGCTTCCCCCGGTTTCGTGTGGTTTTTAAATGGACACCCAAGGGAAAGCCGCCCAGTTTTGGGTTGGAATCCCAAATTTTAAGAGAAGCACTTTTCCAGTGCTTCCATACCACTTGTTTACATTGACGGTTTGGATAAAGCTCCCTTAGTTCAATAACCAGAAAAGGCGTGCAGTTCATGCTATATCCCCTTCCCCCGAGCTTTTCTTGTTCTCAATATGACGTGGTTTTGGCGCAAGAGGGCTACGGGGCACTATGATTAACGGGTATGTACTTCCATCCTCAGAATCTGACAACACTGTTCCCACAAATCCCTGGACCATATCAAACAATCCGGTGATTCGCTCCATTTTGGGTTGTTTCTTCCGATTGGAATCCAGCCAATTCGACATCAGATGGGTTTGACATCTGGGGCACAGGGGGCTTGACATGGGAGCCAGACATTTTCCGCAAGGAAGGCCATTCTTGACGGATGCGCTCTTGGAGGCTTGCAGATAGAGGAAATGAATTCTTCAAGAACGGCAGTTCACATTGCTTTTCTTGAGGCCACCCTTTCTCTTAAAGTTCCAAGCCATTTCGGGGGAGTTTCTCCTAGTGAAAACCCAGGATCAACAACTGTTTGGTTGATTTTGATCGGGGGTGTCCCATTTAAGAGGGAATACGGGTCAATTTTCAAGGAAACACACATTTTTGGGTTCATTCGCTAGATGAGTAAATTACGACCATGTTCTTCTTACTTGGCCCACCTCTGGGGTACACAGAAATCAGAATCCATTCCTTCCCACTAATCCGTCGGTTCCATCCGTCGGCCTTCCCCCCTCACCCCCCACCCTTAACCTCCACCCCCCACCCCCCCCTCCTCACCCCCCCCCCTCACCCCCGCCCCCCCTCACTCCCCCCCCCCCCCCCAACCCCCCCACCCCGCCCGGGCCCCACGAGTTCTCCAGCTCTCCGGCTTGCGCTCGCAGGGCCCCCGCGCCTGAGCTTCAGCTCCAGTCCCACGGTGGTCGACTACGACCTGCTGCTCAGCCTGCCGTACCAAGGCGCGGGTGTGCGGCTTTGTGTCGTGTTGCAGGTTGGGATTGGTGGTTTGGGAATGTGAGCCTGCTTCTGGTAGAGTTGAACTGGGAAGGAAGCCCACCAATCCAAGAAAAACACCTGTTCAGCTTCCAAGTTTGTTTGTTTTGCGGGGTTTCTTCATCAGTCTAGGGTTAAGAGTCGACTAAGTAGCCTAGGTTGATAAGAAGCTACCGTTCCCCCCCCCCCCCAAAAAGAAAGAAAGAAAAGAAGTAGAACAGGGGACACTGAGCTTGCACTTGCTTGTATAGTTCTGCAACACATCACATCTCCGAAGGAAAAGATACAATACAAACAACACACACAAATCAAACAAATAACAGACATCTACCCCAGTCTGCTCTGAAGACTTCATTTATGTTGTTGTCTTGGTTTTTCTCCGGGTTTTGCCACAAACCCGCAACACCTCAAAAACATACAACAAGCTAAGTATATTGTAAGATACAGTTGTATCGATATTCTTAGAAATATACTTTCACAGTGTAGATTTCAGTTTTTTTTTGTATGTAAAAATCTATAATCAGTCTTAAAAAAGACACCAAGCACACACCTGATTCTGGGCTGGAAAAGAGGTTCGCTCTTGTGTTCATCGTGTCAGTGGTCGGTGTGAGTACGTGTTTGGTGCGGGTGCAGCAAGCGACAGAGGATATGTTTCAGGATGGTTCACCGGGTTAACTAATTGCTTAGTAACTCTTAAAACCTTATCAGGCTTTGCAAGGGGCGAACGAGAGGCGCCTAACCGACGGAAGCAGTTGCAGTCGCTGACACCGTGTTTGGCGATGTAACCCCCGGCTTAAACCACGATCGTTTGGCCGCTTTTGGGTTACCCTGGTACAATCATAAGGGCAACCCCGGACGATTACCTTGATCGGTGCTTCTCTGTGGCGATTCATTGCGGACATCGGTTAAGTGGGTCCAACCACTGAGGGTATTGGTTTTACTTAGATGCGAAGTGTCCTTTTCAATTAACCTTAATTGGTTTGGATTGGTGGTTTGGATTTGGATTTAAACCCCTGGTGGGAAACCGCTCCTAACCCCTAAGCAATCCCAAGCACCAAAGGGGAAGCTGAGAAGGGGCCCTTTTGGTTTCGCGTGAGGCGAAGAGTTTGCCGAGCTGCGGAAAGGCCTCAAAGGGATCGGAGGGATCGAAGGGATGTTGGTTTCTCGGTTTTGCAAGGGCAAAATGGAGAGACGACTATGAATTCGGAAACCGGGTGCAGGAGTTTACACAGGAAACTGGCTTTTTGACCCAGAAACAAAGATTTCCGGTAGAGTTTGAGTTTCCAGTGGCATCTTAGAACTATATGTATGCATATATCTAAATACATTATGAAGGGCATATACCGGACCTTTTGGTCAAAAACACGGAGATGGCGATGGTCATGGTCTCAAAAAAGGAATGTTGGGACACCTCCAAGGCTTCCTTCGGAAAGCGTATTGGACAACTTCATCATTTTGTGGATGGTCAAAATCCATTTGCACCAGTTGGTCGGGGTAGTAGAACACTCACTTAGATTTTGGGGTCACAGCAGTATGGAGGGTTGTCGCTTTACGACTACCTCACAACGATTGGTTTCTTTGCTTGCAAAGCGCGAAGCTGGCATACTTCGGGGAAGCCTAGGGCCCCCCAACACCCCCTCAGAAGGGCTCTTAGAACCTTTGTCGGCGCTCAGACATCAAGTTCACGGACCTCTTTGGGTACATCTACACCAGCGGCACCACCGGCCTGCCCAAGGCTCCGGATCCGGGACTCGACGACTCGACAAAACCCGGACACTTGCTTGTTCAAGGGGCCAGAGGATGTGTTGATTTTTATACTCCAAGGGGTTTGTTTCTCTTCAAGTTGTTTTCTTCTTGTGTTTTCTTTTTCGTTTTTCGATGGGTTCTGAGGGATGACTTTGATGGTGGAATGATGGTAGTTATTATTCTGCCCAGAGACCCAAGAAAAGCCATGAGGCAGAAAAGGGGGGGGTTGTCAAAATGATGAGTCTTTTAGCGCACAACACTCAAAAGATGCGCAGCATGTCTCTCTCTGGGGTCATCAAAGAACAAACCAAAGGAACAAAACTACAATACGGCCAATCAGGCACCCCTACCCACAGACTGGTTCTAAGAACCCTCCTACAAACTCCTTCTAAGAAGGTTCTAAGAAGCTTTCCTGGGTGATGGGGGGGGCCTTTGGTTCTTTCCCTATCATTCAATGCATCGGAGTCTGCTTGCGTCCGTTTCTTGCATTTTTCGAGTGGGTTCCTTGAGTATTTTTGCATTGTTCTTTTTTTTCCTAGAGCTGTGGCCACCCAATCCGCTGAGGATGTTCTGGATCCTCTGGGAAAGCGAGGCGTTTTGGTGACAAACAAGGAGCAAGCAAACAACTCGGGTGTTCTTTCCGCGGGCTTTGTGGAGTTGTCAGTCATTTTTTGTGATCTTTTTGAGGGCCCCCCCAAAACAGGGACTGGGTTTCCTTCGGTTTCCTTTTAAGCCCCATTAAAAGGGCGCCGGAACAAGACACCTTGTGGGAACCCAACCCGAAAAGTCGCATCTGGAAAGTTGGATCCCAAAACCACTGTGGGTCTTCGGCCAGTGGGCTTTAATGGACGCCACGGGAACCCAGGGTCCAAAATTGACGGATTGGACCTTTCGGGCTTGGGAATCCACGTCAAAGGGCACTCGGGTTGAGCGAAGGTTGGACGGTGACAGCAAAACTGAAGGTGAGATGCGCTGGGTTTTGGGTAGAAGTGCTGCATACATGTTACCAGGTTTTGATGACTCAAATTCTCGTTTCCTAGTTAGAACTCATCTTGTTCTCGGCGTGGTCGTTTGCCTCCTTTATGGCTCGGCTTTCTTGTCCAATTTTATTTTTGTTTGCATTGTCTAATTGCTCGAGCCATCCTCTTCTAGAGGTCTTCTGCTTGTTTGGCTTTATTGATTGTATTCCTGTTTATCTTCTTTGTGTCTTGCTGCCTTCTTCCAGTTGTTGCTCTTCTTCTTGTCGTTATTCTGGTCTTTTTTTGTCCTTTTCTGATGTGTTTGCCTCCTTGTTCTTCCGTATTATTTTTGTCGTATGCTTTGTTTGTCGTCTTGTTGTTTTTGTCGCCTTGTCTTCTTCCTATCTCTTGTCTTCGTGTTTTTGTTTTGTCTTTGTTTCCTGGTATCTCAGTTTTTTCTCTTGTTCTTCTTGCGTTCCTGCTTTGAGTTGTTCCTCATTCGTCTTGCTTTGTTATGTTCCTCTACACAGTTGCTTGATCTGCTTGTTTATCTTGTTCTGCTTCTTCGTCTTCTTCTTCGTCTTCTTCTTCTTCATCTTCTTCTTGTGTTCTTCTTCTTGTGTTTCTTTTTGTCTTCTTGTGTTTCTTATTGTTCTTATTATGTCGCATTTGCCTGTTGCTTATTCTTGTCTTCTTGCCTTTTTGTCTGTGTGTCTTCTTACCTCCCTTTTTTATAGCTCTGCATCTCTTTGTTCTGCTGCTTCGTGAAGTCTTATTCCTTCTTCTTGTGCTCTGCATTTTTCTTAGTTTTTTGGTCTTCTTGTTTTTCTGCATCTTCCGGTCTTGTCTTTTCCTTCTTTTCCGCCTTCTCATTCGCCTTGTTTCTCTTTCTTCTTGCCTTCTTGTTGTTTCGTCTACTTCTTGTGTTCTTGTTGTCTGTGCTCTTGCCTTTTTGCCTTTTAGCCTTCTTGTCTTCTCGTCTTTGTGTCTTCCTGACTGCTTGTTTCTGGACTTATCTTTTTACTTTTCTCAGCCTTTCCCGTTTTCTCTTTTTTGCTTTCTTAGCTTTTTGTTTGTTTGCCTTTCTACTTTGATATTTTTCTTCCTAGTCTTCGATTTTCTTGTCATGCGATGTTTGTTGTTTGTGCTTCATCGTCTTATTCTCTTCTTTTCTTCTTTATGTCTCGTTGTCTCCTTCTTCTTCTTCTTCTTCTTCTTCTTGTCTTCTTGCTTTTCTTGTCTTCTTGTTTTCTTCTTTCCGTCCTATCTTCTTGTTCTTTCCGCAAGAGTTCAAAGATCCACGGCCCAGTGATCACCTTACGGTGGTCTTCGAGTCTTCGCGCCTGACACGGTCCTCGGCATTCCACAGGAACCAACCACACATGCGGGCATAGGCGACCCTTTTGGGTCTGTTCGACTGAATATGGCGCGTCCACTGTGGTTGCCATTTTGCTTTTCTCCCAAAGGATCTGCCAGCACAGTTTCAATTGGAGTGTTGGGATCGGTCAACCAGGGGTTTCGACTCCAAGCCTTGGGGTGACCTGAGCTTCTCTCGCGCCTTCCATCTCGCTCTCTCCGGGCTCTGGGCCTTCAGGCGGCGAAGATGACCCACGCCAAGATGTACACCTTGGGCACAATCGGGCGGCTGTTGAGCGTGGGCCCAGGCGCGGTGCGAAGTTTGGGAGGGTGTGGGGGGTGGGGTGTTGAGGGTTCGGGGGTGGGGGGGATGGGGTGGCGGGGGGGGTGCGAGGGGGGGGGAGTGGGGTGTGGGGGGGTGGATGGAGTGGGGAGAGGGTGGGGGGGAGTGGGCCGGATTCGGTTGGATTTCTTGCAGGTTTCTTGTTGGGATACCCGAAAGGGTGAGATGGGGGTCAATTCTTAGATGCCACGTGCAGGGTTTTGGAAAACAGTGGTTTAAATCAGGGCTTCGCGATTTCAACCGCACCGGGGTTCTGGAAAGAAGGACTTTCCCGGGCTTGAGGTGATCACATCAAAAGAGCTAATTTCATTTGCGGATTGAGTCCCGGTGGCTTGCCCTTGTGCCATTGAGCTCGGATCATAGGATGTCACTTCCATGCCCAGCCAGGGCTCACTCCCTGAGTTCCTGGACTAAAGGCTTGGACCGTTTGAGTGGGACACGATTCTGGCCGATGCACACAGGAAGTTTTCGAGTTTGATACACCGTGTACTGATGTATTTCGTTGCTGGCTCGTCACCCACGGACTTTTGTACCGAGAGGTCCAACCCACGTTTGGTGTTCTGTGGGATTGGATTTTCCCCTCGGAACGTGGGGATTCAGAATTATTCTGTTGTTCATGTGGAAATGATATGAGAGCCGCCATTTTAAAGGAACTATTCGAGGACTTTTTAGTTAGGTTCCAGGGCCACGAGGACAGGGGGGTAATGCTTGCCAGGGGACATTTTGTACACCTGCCTGCCGCTCTACCACTCCGCGGGCGGAGCTCTGGGCGTCATGTGTTGCTTGGTGCTGGGTGGCCCAGATTCAGAGAGCCGCGTCCTAAACGCGGGTGAGTGAAGGTTAGTAAGGTTAAGGTGAGTTAAGGTCGGCAAGGTAAGTGAAAGTTGGAAGCTACGCTAGTAAGGTTAGCCAGGTAAGCGAAAGTTGGTAGTTAGGTTAGTTAGGTTAGTTAGGTTAGAAAAGTCAGTGAAAGTTGGTAGCTAGGGTAGTTGGGTTAGGAAGGCAAGTGAAGGTACCCTTTCTAAGTAATGGGTCTCATGATCATATGACTGCTTATTATGGGCTAAAAGAAGGCCCTATGAATGGCTTGTTCGAATACTTATCCATACCTTATCGCAAGCTTATCCTAAGCGAGTCTTAAGGAATGATGATCAAGTTTCTATTTCGGCGTTTATTCAGCGCTCAATCGGCGCCAAAGGATAAGCTTGGGATAAGGTGTGGATGAGCAATTGATAAGATATGCATAAGCCCTTACTAAGCCCTTAAGTTGTCATTTGATCAAGGGGGTAGCCCATAGCCCACGACCCCCCAATAGCCCCCCAAGTGCTCCGTGACATGACCAATCGGCATGTGTGCTGTGGTCAAAAGGCCGGCTCCCTTTCTTGCGGTTGGTAGGGATCCGGGATAGTCATAGATTCTAGGCAACGAGTTTTTTTTTTTTTGCGGAAGCCGTGTCCGTGGCCCACTAAGGAGTTTTGTCCGCACTGGTAAGTGATGTCCGGTTTTGGATTTGGGGGTTCCCACAATTTCCTTTATTTCACCGCCACTTAAGGGCAAGTTTCAGAGTGTTACTGAATGGACCCATGTGACATGGGTGTAAAGCAGCCCCAACACGTTCAACCTGCGGATTTCGGGTTTTAGGGGCCACTTGGGCTTGTCTCGGAATAGGTTGTGAACGCCGCGAAATTGGTGGTTTTCCTATGGTTTCCCTCTTAAGCAATCCCAGCAAGGGTACCCTCCAAGACACACGCCCACTTGTAAGTCGCACTTTTGGATTCTGCTCCATCGCCAGTTTTGAGCGCTTATTTTACGCGCCATCTCGAATCATTGCTCATCAAGTCCTATCATCTCTCATCATTCCCCTATCTTATCATCATTTGCCAACATCTTCTTGTTATCATTCTTCATATCAATGCCCTCCCCCTCCCCTCCCCTCCCCTCCCCTCCCCTAAAAATAGTTAATAGGGGGCTCCTGGGGTAGGGAATTTTCAAGGTAGGGTTTCAGGGTTCAGGGTTCATTTTCAACAAGCAAACAACTTTGTTCAAAACACCAAGGGGGATTCTGGGGAATTTTCCTAAAATTTCTCAACTTTTTTTTTACAATTTTTTCATTTAATAACAGTCTAACAATTTAACATTTTCAAGTTTCAGGTTTCAGACCATTTTTAAGCTTTCTGGGGGATAGAATGGTTTAATCATATTATAAGTTGATAATATGAATAAACTGAACAAATATTGCTTATGGTTTCCGCCTGTCAGGCGTAAAACGGACTTTGTCCGGTTTCCATTTACTAAAATCAGCATAAATACCAAAGTTTTCACCAATATCATTCCACCACTGTTCTATTTTTCTTGACCAACCTAATATTGTTTCTTTGTCAATATGTTTGTTTCTTCTCTTATGCTTATCATAATTAAACTTAATGATTGCTTGAAGAATTAGAAAATTTGTTCTCCTAAAAAAGAATTTCATATCTTCAAGATTTTTATAAGTGCCTGTAAATGTTATATTGTTCAACTCTGCTCCATATTCAATTACCTTTCCTTCATCGTATAGTTCATTGTAAGTCTTCATTAACAAATCACGATGATAACATTGTATTAATGGCTTTTCTGGATAACCTAATTCTTTCATTGTTTCAATTACATCGTTCATTTCTTCATAAGATGGATAAGGATTTAACTTAATGAACCTTTTAACTTCATCACTTTCTTTTTGTCTTTTCTCCATCAACTTCTCTACCTTTTCTGTGGTTAATACTGTCATACCTTCCATTACTTTTCTATTATATTATGGTCTCATTTCTTTAAGTCTTTTTAGTTTTTGCAGGGTCGGTATTTTGGTTTTCAGTTTCATCATTTTCACTTTCAGACTCGTCCCCATCCACACCGGTAGGGACAGGGATGTCAGTAGGCGGTGCTATTTCATAATTAGCATTTTCTTCTGATGACGCCTCGCCAGAGGCTCGCGAGCTTCGCGACGATGAATGAACAGTATGCGTTGAAGAACTATTAACAGTGATAGGCGGAGAACTATGAACACTAACAGGGGGTTCTGTGTTTAACTCAACTTCCTCACTAACATTTGTATTCAACCAATTCATTATGGCACTTGCTATATCATAAGATGATACTAATGAATTCATTGTCAAATTAACCAGCAACTCTGAACCTTGAATTGTAGTTAATGTAGTGTGACATGTTAAATGTGCCACTATCTGCCCTATACTAAAACCTGACCTCAACATCAAATCTATAATCCTCATCAACATAAATAGTTTCTTTCTGTATTTATCATTATCATCATCTTTTTTATCATCATCATCATCATCATCGTCATCATCATTTAAATCAGGGTCATATGTAAATGCTAATGCTTCTGCTTCTGCCTTGTTCATCAGTTTGCTCTTAAACTTCTTTGAAGACCCACCTAAAATCTTTGTCATATCATCAAAATTATAAGTTTGCGTCGCCTTATCATTTGGTAGGTCTGTTTGCGTTGCCTTGTTTTCTTTGTTAAGTGTTTGTGTTGCCTTGTCTGCCATCATAACTTCTGCATTCATATATCGTTCTTTATTTTTATAATTCATTAAATCTAATTCATCAAAATCAAAATTATTCAATGACATTCCTTTCTTGTATTTCTTCAGTATAACTGTTGTTTTTAGTTTGCTTGTGATTGCTTGTTTAAGCATTTCATCATATGTAGGGCGTTTCCTTAACTCTTGCTTGTGGTTGTTAATCATTTTATATAATTATTGATAAATTATGTAAAATTATCTATTTTTCCTTTGTTGCCTTGCCTTTTCCTTTCATATCTCTCCAATCGTTTAGTCTTTTTCTTAACAATTCATCATTTACTTTCGTCGTCCATTTTCCGCTGTTTATAAGTTTTTCAATCAATCCAACTAAATAAGCTCTACCTGTTTCCTTTTTACCTTTTCCTCCTTTTTTCTTTGTTTCATTTTCGTATTCGTGTTGTTGTTCTTTAGTAAGTTCAATTCCTCTTAAATGTAGTTGAAATAGTAGGTCTTTTTCCAGAACGTTCGTTTTTTGGTTCCAATGGTTTATATCAGTTGAATAGTCAATAGTTTCCTTATGTGTTCTTGTTTGTCTTGCTGGTAATGTGGATGAACTGCCAGCGTTGTCCATTTTTTGCTCTCTCTCGGTTCTTTTCTGTTGCAAAGTTTCTTCTCTTACAATACGTCCCTTGAATGCCGCCTGTAGTCGCTTAGCCGCTTCATTTTCTTTCCTCGTTGTTAATCCTCTTTGCGCCCCTTGTATCCGTTTAACTGCTTCGTCTTCTGTCATCAATGGTTCTAACGGTGGTAAGTCTTCTGAATCGCTTGATTTTGCGGTTACCATTGACTGGATACTTGGTCTTCTCCCCTCTTGTCCTTCTAATTGTCTTGCCCGTTGTGCTCGTTCGTGTAGGTCGGCTATTTGTTCGCTACTAAATCTTTTTGAAACTTGACTTATTTGTTGTTCGTGTTGTTCCTCGGCGTTGTCCATTGTGGCAGTTAGTGTTTGTATTGCTCCGTCTCTTAAATCATCCATTTCATCGTCCCTTGCCATATCAAAATAGGGGACTGTTTTAGGTTGTTCTAATATTTTTTGAAAGTGTTGTTGTCTCAAATCTACGGTATTATTATCATAAACTGTTCCTAACGGACTGTCCCGAAAATAATAAGCGTTTCTGTCTATTACATCTCTTATATTCTTATTTTTATATTCTTCCTTTGTAATTTCCTTGATGAGTTCATTATAAGACGGTCTTAATCTTAACTGTGATTTTAATGTTTTCATATGGTCTAATCTCATTATATGTAATTAATTAGATTATAAAATTATTAATCTAATTAATTTATTCAAACTTAAAATTCTTTCTTAATTGATTGATTATATCCTTTTTCTTCTTAATCATTTCCGAATAGTTTTTACCAGTTTCACTTGATGGATGATGTCTTATTTTTTCACCTTCTAACCTTTGGATTTCATTAAAATATGTCTGTGCTTCATCTTGATATCTTCTTCTATTTTGAAATATAGCGTAATCTTTTTTAGCGTTATGAAATTCTAACTGTTCCTTCATTTCTTTCAGATATGTATAATTTGGTTGATGTGCTTTGTTGTCTCCTTCGTAATAGTAATGGACGCTAGATTTATATTTTTTACTTGGTTTTGTTATGGGATTATAAAATTTGTTTGATGTTGGTAATTGACGCTCGGCAGAGCCTCGCGAGCGTTCGCGACCTGCTTTACCATTCTTTGTAAGTGTTGATGTTATATTTTCAAAATCTGACTTGTTCATATAATAATAATTAGATTATAAATTTATTTATCAAATAATTTTTGATACTAATTTATTAATATGTTCTTGTTTCTTTTCCATCTTCTGCTGTTTCATATTAATATATCTGTCTTTTGCGTTTTCAAATACTTTATTTGCTGTGCTTTCTATATGTTGTTTTAACCTTTCTTCAACTTTTTGTTGAACACGCTTTTCTATTTCTTGTTCATCCACTTTAATATTATCTTTAACTTTACTATATACATTATTTTCAAACTCTTTTGCTTGCCCCTCGTTCATAATTTTGCGTCTTACAGGTTTGTTTGGGTCTGGTTCTTTTTTAACAGGTATTCCGTTACAGTTATGACGATATCTGAAAGTGTATTTTGTTAAATATTTTTTACATTTTGGACATTCCACTTTTTCAGTTGAGTATGTTTTAGATTTTAATTCTTGCTTTGGTTCGTGTTCTTCTTCTACTTTATTATTTTCTTCATT